ACGGGGCCGGGGACATGGCTACCTTTGTTTCCTGCAGGCAGGAACCGGTCCTCGGGGTCTGCTGCGCATCCGTGCTGTGCTGGGGGTCGTTCTCCTTCTCGGTGATTTCGGTCATGGTGCGCCTAGGACGCGTCCGGCTGAGCTGGGGGTCCGGAGCTCGAGCAGCCGAGCACGGCTCTCCAGCAGGGTTGCGGACCGGAGCTCTTCCGCCCCTCCCCTCCCACCTTAAATCCAAAACCGCCTCTTCTCCCGCCGCGCCGGACCGGGAAGCCTTGGTCTCCCAGCCCCCCCGGGAGAATGACTGGAGGGTTTCCCTCCTCTTCCACTTAGTTTCCCTTTAGGAAAGCAAGAAACGACTCGTAATCTAAAGCGACGACGCTCGGTCCTCACTCCAGCGAACTCTTCTGAAGCCGACGCGGATGGGTCTTTTTTACCACTCGGACCTCCCCTTTTATGCAAATCAAAACAGAATTTACAACCCCACGTAGTTACTCTCCCCTCCCCACTGACTAGCGCGGGTGACTAGTGCGGGTGAAGTCTTCTCGCCTTTACACTCTCTACGCTCGTCCTGCAAGTTTGGTTTTTAGGAGGCGTTGGCTCTTGCCATAACGGTGTGTGCACGCATACACACAAACACCAAATCTCTCTCTCTCTCTCTCTCCACCATCACTTTTTTTACGAATGGCTCGTTAACCTCGCCTTTTCCTTTTGATATGGTAATAGAGAACGTGGGATAACCATCTCCCATTGGCCTTGACGCCCAATGGAAATAGAGGGACGGAGACTCTTCACTAAGGGGTGGATCCACGCTGAGAAGTTATACACGTACCTAAATGTGACAGAAAGAGAAATAAGTTCTAAGACTAAGAGGGCGAAACCCGCACCTTGTTCTGCCTCACAGGCCCAGAGAAACAGATCGCCCGCCCACTTTTCAGTGTTGGCCTCTTTCACCTTCTGAGCTAGAGGGCTGTCCCTCTCAGCTCTAATATCTCTGGATTTTGCCACCTCGGAGTAGCACCTTCTTGCATGACCATCGGAGATGCAGTCTGACATGTACCTTTGCCCCCAGACTTGGGCTGGGGCAACTGCTCTGGGGTATACGGGGCTCTGCTCCCCTGAAAGACTTAGTTGGCTTTCCCAGATTCAGCACTGGCATCTTCCTCTTACCTCCAAAGCCCTCCAAGATATAGTATATAAAGAAACAAATTATTTTTATCCTGCCTTTCTCCTGTAGACAGCCATGTCTAAAGCAGATGATAATCAAACATACTTTATAAAACAAGGCAGCTAAGGACAGCAACAGAAGATTGTTCCAAGGAGCCAATGCAAAAACTATCAATTATATTTGTAGCCTGGTTTGGGCAAGACAGCTTTCATATGGTGAAGAAATCCAGTGGGAGATGAGCCAAGGAGAGGTTTCCTGATCAAAAAGTCTGCAGTGGTGCCATTGCAGAAAAAGCCCCCTCCTCAATATCATTGTGGTGGGACCCAAAGTAGATCTTCTCTCAATAACCAGTATTTCTGGGTGCAACCCAGAATCCTATCAGAAGCCAGTTCTGTGCTTGCAATATAGGTGCCTTAGGGCTGTAGCATCTTTAATCCACCAGAGGGCTGCTGAATTTTGCACCAATTGTGGTTTCCAAATAGTTTTCAAAAACAGCCATGTAAAGCCCATTGCAATAGTCTAAACTAGTGGTGTTAAGGGCATGAGATAGTGTTCCCAAGCCTCTGGTCCACTTAAAGCCACAACCAGCACAGCAGCTGGACAAAAGCTCCACCAGCCGTTGGCTCCACTTGTGGCCATGATCCCAGGAAGATTCCCACATCATGCACCTACTCCCTCAAAAGGAACGACACTCCATCCAGATGCATTGGACAAATCTGAATATTTTCATTTTTTTGCTTGATTATGTATCATCAGGTCTGTGATGACTCTTAGATGGATTTTCTCCATGACGATCTATCCCTCACCTGGTCTTTCAAGTCTCCCAACAGCGCACTCATAGCCCCTGTAACTGAGCCCATCCACCTTGCTGCTGGTCATCTTCTTCTCTTTTTCCTTCCACGTTTAAATCTGAATATAAGTGTGATTTAATAAAGGTGACTATTTATGGGGTTATTTTTCTTTGGAGGAAAGATAGCCAAGGTCTGTTGGATGCCTACAATCTTCACTCAGTCTCCATGTGTGAAACACTCTGTATTTTGATGCTAGTCCACTAATCTATCCACCATTTGCTGGCTGGGGAATTCTGGGAATTGAAGTCCACCCATCTTAAAGCTGCCAAGGTTGAGAAACACTGCTCTACAGTATTAATCGACCCAGTAATCAGGTAGCACTACCCTGAGTTTTCTTTGTTCCTACAAATTGTAGACTTCCCTGTGACACATTTGCAAATAAAAGACTTTTTCTCAATTCCCATTTATGATAGGATCAGAATGCTGTGGCAACTCCCATGTTGCTCCTTATTCTCATGGTATTAACTTTTCTTGCCCTTAGACCAAGATTTAGTCTTATGCTGCCCCTTCGTATGTCAGAAAATAACTTACTTAAGATGACTTTGGGCAATTGTATGGCAACTGTTTTGTGTTTTACCTTGCCTCCTCTTTTTTGAGAACTGTGATCAGGTCAGCCTTGATCTATTTTTGGTAGATTCTTGAGGATGTACCTGTCTTTTAGGAGGGAGAGCGGACTGACCCTTCCTTAGTGATTTTTTGCCTTAAGATATCCTCCCCCCACCCATGCTTAACAATGAAGATAATGCTGGGGGGTGGAGGGCAGCCAAAACAATAGCAAGAGCCAGGAGAGCTGGCAAAACATTCTTTCAGTACAACAAGAGCTTAATTTAATTGCCTTAAGAAACCCTAGTGAGGGCAAGCTCTGAGCTCTCTTCCTTTTCAGGGTATCACATGGAGGGCTTGATTTGCTCAGCTCCTAGCATACTCATGTCTGCCCTACTAAGCTTGTTTTAGGGCTGCAGAAAAGTTTACATGAATCTCTCAGGTGACCCTCCATTCAGTCATTGCCTGGGCTGAGACTCATCTTTAGGAAGGAGGAACCTTATTTCCTTTCAGGGGATTCTTTGTGCCCTTCGGTTAAAGGTGTAGTATGGAAGGCCAACATAAGGAAGTTACTACACTCTAGCGAGAGTGTGGCTATTCCCCACAATTGAGTTAAAAAGCTATCCACAGCTCCTTCAGTGGGCAGGACATAACGCTAGCATAAAATGTGCTAGTTTTCTCCTCTGAATTTTCTGCTGTTCCCCTTCAGCATATGACGAGCCAGTGGGGAAAACATCTATCACTGGGGCACTATAGCAGAAATGGAGTGGGTCTGCCTTCAGGACTCTGCTTGGATTTCTCTAGGCTGGTTGTCCCACATCATGAGCATCCACAGGCAGGTAACGAGGGGCAACAGATGAAACATGTATCATGATGCAAACTTTGCCCCCTACAAACCTATGTAACTCACAGCACAAAAAGCTTGAGCTTCTGCCACAACGTCACAACACAGTCATTTTGGTTAGCTTCAGACTTCTGTTTCACATTCCATTTGGTCATCACTAAGTTTTAAAAAGGGGGACGCGGTGGCGCAGCGGCTTAATGATGCTGAAAGTTGCCGGCCAGAAATGGTCGACGCTTCAGCAGTTCGAGT